ATCGAGTAGCTTTGCGTTAAATTCAAAACAAACTATCTTCGCGCTATCTTTTGGCTGTTTTCTTTAAATTCTCAAATTGATAATCGATACCTGGTAGTAAACAACAACAGAGAGAGACCAGGGTTGGGTAATTAAAAATTTTATGGGTATCCATACCAATCTCTAATTTTATATCATATCTTGGGTAAACCTCATAAAAGGCTGAATCATGTTCCAGAAAACTACTTTTAAATATTTATTATTATTCAAACGAAAGAAATCAATTGCTTAAAACTACTAGTGTAATATACCAGAAATATGTGATTAATTAATTTTTTAATGAAAATTGTGTTATCAGATATAAACGAAATAAAAATTATTTTTGTAAAAATCAAAACTGAAAAAATAGCCTAACTTGTTAGGCCTACTTAACAAATAACTTTATTCGTCAGCTAAGCGATTTCAACGGACAGTTTTGAAGCCATTAAAGATATATAAAATGATACAAAATAAAATTATTATTATTATTATTTAAAAACAACAACAACAACAACCAAGGCTGAAAAAATAGCCTAACTTGTTAGGCCTAATTAACAAATAAGTTTATTCGTCAGCTAAGCGATTTCAACGGACAATTTTGAAGCCATTAAAGATATATAAAATGATACAAAATAAAAATTATTAGTATTTAAAAAACAACAACAACAACAACCAAGGCTGAAAAAATAGCCTAACTTGTTAGGCCTAATTAACAAATAAGCATATTCGTCAGCTAAGCGATTTCAACTGACAGTTTTGAAAGCATTAAAGATATATAAAATGATACAAGATAAAAATTATTATTATTTAAAAAAAAACCAAGGCTGAAAAAAATAGCTTAACTAGTTAGGCCTAATTAACAAATAAGGATATTCGTCAGCTAAGCGATTTCAACGGACAGTTTTGAAACCATTAGAGATATATAAAATGATGTAATCTTAAAAAATCACATTAAAGTAATCTTTAAAATAAAACGGATAACACAACATTTTTAGGCTGAAAAAGACAACTAATAGCTATCTCAAACAATTGTTTTGGAAAAAAAGTCAAAGTTCAGATCATTCAAAAGTCTTTACGGGAAAAAAATGAAAGAAAGAAGTATACGAAAAGACTTTGGAAACAATTTCTTTATCTTTCTCCAAATAAAAGAGAAAGGTCTTTCTCAGTGTCATTTGCAGAAGAAATTCGAAAAATGAGCAAAGAAAAAGAAAGAAAAATATCAACATGAAACTTTGTGTAATACAAATAATAATAACTTGTTCAAGCAAATCTATCGGTTTAATTTTTCATTGTTGTAAAAACAAACGAAGGAGCTCAGATTTCCTAAATTTTAATGACATATACTGGATAATTAGGCTTAGTATAGGTGATGTTAGTGAAGTTTGACAGCAAAGTTTTTTGTTATTTTTAATCACCTTTAAATAGCCACCTTGCTTCTTTGAGTTAAGCGTTTTGCCCTTGTAATGATAAAACTTTCTGTGGAACAGTTCTCAGTTTCATATAATCAAAAATTGATTTAACATAAAAAAAACATATACGAACAAATAAATACGGCAAGTCAACAATATCGTTTCTGATTATTAAATATAACAACAAATATGATAAATCAACAATATTTCTTTAGATTATTAAATATAACAACAAATATGATAAATCAACAATATTTCTTTAGATTATTAAATATAACAACAAATATGATAAATCAACAATATTTTTTCAGATCACTAAATATAGCAACAAATATGATAAATCAACAATATTTCTTCAGATCACTAAATAT